GGAGGAGGAGGAGAGGAGTAAGAGGAGGAAGGGGAGGAGGATCAGGAGAAGGAAAGTTCCGGGTTTCAACTTTTTGAGATAAAAAATATAAGCATTTGCGGATAGGGAAGATTTAAATCAATAGCAGCTCGCAAAGTGGATAAAAGACGGATATAAAATATTCAAATGGACTTCGAGCATAATATCACTATTTATTTTTTAATTGAAAAAATTGTTCATTTCTGGTTAACGCAGACCGCATTATGTTGTGATACGATTTGGATGACTGGTTCGAATTTTCAGCAGTGCCTTCTTCAACTTCGACTTTTGTGGGAGTTTTTTTCCCCCTTACACCCACATCATTCGTGTTTCAGATAGACGTTAATTTAGAGGTCATGTCTCTGAAATAAGCTAGGTGAAAATGGCACAGGTTTCACGCTCCTTTCAACACTATTAGGTTGTTTGAGAGGCGGGACCTTTGAGTTTAATATCCATCCCCGAAAGGACCAAGCCAAGCAGGAAATTCATGTAAAGTGCCTTTCCCAGGGACAAGACGTCGGACAGAGCTGAGGCTCAAAGCCCCAAACCCGACAAGCTTTTGACTTTGAAAGGGATGGTAAATCTGTATAACATAAGTTCTCTATCGAATGATGCGGTTATTGGGAAAGCAAGGTTGGATGCGTACTCATGTCATAGTACAGCTACAGACAAGATGGCTTTCAAAAATCTGGACAAGACAAGAAGCTTTCTTTAACTTGTCATCAGCAAGCTTTTCAAACAATGTGTTAAGCCCATATATAGGGTAAATTTTTCCAGAGGAGAGAAAAAGAAATATATTTAATTTCTTTAGCACTTATACCTACAGTATGTATCTTTTCGTTCTTTTTTCAACATTTAGAATTTAAATTTCGCCAAATCATTATATCTTTTGTAGCCTACATGTAACCGATATATCTACCACAGATTTTATTAAGAGACTGCAATATAAAAGATCATAATTTCAAAATGTTGGGCTTTGTACTTTTGGGCAACTGGTTGCCGTTAATGTCGAGAGGAGATGTAGTTTTTTTTATGGTAGGTCAACTGTCAACTGTAGCTCTTCCAACTAAGATGTCGTTTCTCGGGGTTCACTCGACTCCTTAAATCCATCTTTTACGTGGTCTATCTCTTTCTTTGTAGCCCAGGAAAGCGGTAGTCTCGGCTCTTGATGCTGGTTGACTGGCTGGCATTCGTAGAAAGGTTGCTAAACCATTTTATTTAATTAAAACAAGGAGCATTAGTTGGAAATCTTTCTAGAACCATAGAAGTAGAGGGGCAATAGGAACGGTCTTTGTTTTGTTTGCTTTTTTCTCCAAACAAAAAGTAAATGTGGTACATGTACCAGTTAGGACTGGAAAAGTGGACATGTTGGTCGAGCTATTCCAATACATGTAATAATATTACTTATACATTAAGTAGGCCCGAAGGCCCAGGAAGTTGTCTCACTTACAAGGCAATCCCCAATGTCCAGATCGGATGCGGGAACAACTTTACTTTACTTTTACATTTCGCAGGCTACATGAATTATATTAACTCTTCTCTTTTGCAATTTGAAAAAAAGACTAATGAACCAGCGTCTGTGGTGTAGCACTTAGTCGCGTAGCTCGCAGGAGACCTGAGTTCGATACTGAAGCGGAGTTAAAAATTTATTTAGTCTTGTATCTCGCTCTTTCTGCAAGGATATTGTATCCCTCACTGACTGGGTTGACCTGGTCTGAATTGGGTCGATTGGGGGCACATAAAAGCACTTAAAATCAACGCTCCTGGGAAAGGCACCGAGGTTCAGTATTCCTTCCATAAAAAAACAAACAACTAAAGTTAAAAACGAAAAAAAAAAGAAAAGAAAAGAAAAGAAAAGAAAAGAAAAGAAAAGAAAAGAGAAAAGAAAATACCAACTTAACTGAAAACGAACACTTAAGGAAAAAGTGATAAATTAAAAAGAAAGTCGTCTTTGGGCTCGTCTGAAGCACTTGGAGGTAGTCCTACATGTAATTTCATCAGAAGAGAAATCACCAGACGGTGTGATAAGTAGGCTACAAAAATGTATTCTGATGGAGAGAATCCGTTTTGTCCCATAATTTTCATTTTTGCTTTTCGTTTTACCCGCTTCCATCCCTCCCGTTTTCGTCCCACATTGATTCGAGGTTAGTGCAATTGCCACACCGATTCCAAAAAAGGGATTTGGGAAATTGTGTGCACCTGTACTTTGTATAATGTATTGTGTTATCATTGTTTGGACAATAGAATAATAGTATGAAGATGTGTTGAAAAAACAAGTATCATCTCTTCAAAAACAAAGAACTAACTACAGTATAAACATTTTTTGACAAAAAATGTTTGCTGAAATTTTGGACAAACCAGGAAACGCTTTTATTACCTGATGACACAAGTAAGCCTGTTTCAAAACAAAGGAGAAAGGGAAAAAAAACTATAACTGTTGTAGTGGCAACCATAGATGTTTGACTTTGGAATCATCATCATCATCATCATCATCATCATCATCATCATCATCATCATCATCATCATCATCATCATCATCATCATCATCATCATCATCACTATTATTATTATTATTATTATTATCATGATTATTATTATCATTATCATTATTATTATTATTATTATTTAGCCTGGACACTGGGAACCTTGATCCGCACATATCACTCGTCATACCAATAGTTACAGCACATAACAAATGCAGATAACTTGACTATGGGGGAGGTCTTACGTGGATAATGCGACCGATTAAAAAAAAAAAAGAAAAGATACCTCGATATATTTCGCGATGGGTAAGCCACCAACCTTCTTTTTCGATGGAATAATAATAATAACACTACTACTACTACTGCTACTACTACTTCTACTACTGCTACTACTACTACTGCTACTACTACTACTACTATTACTACTACTACTACTACTACTACTACTACTACTACTACAACTACTACTACTACACTCCTCCTCCTCT